ATATATATATATAATATTAGAGAAAAAAAAGATGAACTGTCCAAGAAATTTAGCTAAAAAGGACAGGCATCATATATCTATAATTGTTCTTCTACATCTATATTAAAAAATTAATTGAGATACTATAAACTTCAAGCTTAGCGCAGAGTACAAGATAAGCTGAAGGCACGGTTAAGAATATTTAAGGCAAAAAAACATTGGATAAGTGGAAATCTAGACAATCATGTTAAATAATCCTGTATATACATAAAAATTTAATGTAGAAATTTGTATTTTTTATCTTATAAGCCGCAACACAGACTTTTGTATAACGCTTTTATATGACATATAATGCATAAAGCAAGAAAATTAATCAATCATAATATGAAATGAAGGATTTTAATTGTGGTTGATTTTCTTATGCCTTTTTTCTGCATAAATAAAAATCAATATTTCGGAAAAAAAGAATACAAATTAGAATCAAAAACAGAAGATATATCAGAAACTTCTAGTATCAAAGAAGAAGCATCTTATGTCTTATGTGTTACGCAAAAGTTTATGCTACGGCTTTATCTCTTTGCATATCCTATACAAGTTTAATTTTGCTTTGATTTCTTTTTTTTCTTTTTCTTTTTCTCGCTTGAAACTGGTTCCTCCACCTCTTCAGCAGATACTATTGTTTGTTGCAGCTCCTCGCTTTCTTTTTCCTTTTTCTTTTTCTTTTTCTTCTTTTCTGTAAATAAAAATAAAATAATAAAATAATAAATTCTTATTTGGACGGCTATTTTATTATTTATTACAAAATTTAATAGAATAAAAGTCAGAATTATTTTATTTAACCCATGAATAAAAGTCTGCTTAGTTATATGAGTCTAACAATGACAGCTTAAGAAGAACTTAATTAGAAGATTAATTACAGATTTGAAATTACAGAAATCTGTTAAAAAAAAAATCTTCAAATATCTTGCTGTAATTGCTGTAAAGAGAGATTTAAACCTATATATTTTCTAAATGTTTACATTTTTTGCAATATTACTTTTAAATTGTTTTCTAGCCAAATCAAGATATTTAATAGTGAAAAATAAAAACTGAAAATCAATTACTATATTCGATATTTATTCGAAATCTTGTATGTGCATTTTTATTTTTATAGTTACCTTCACTTATTCCAGCTTCAACTGAAACATCTCCTTCAAATGTTTCTTGACTTTTTACAGATACTGTTTCATATTTTTCCTCACTTTTTATAGATGCTGCTTCTTCAAGTTCAATTGATTCTTTCTTTTTCTTCTTTTTTTTCTTCGATATGATATCTGAATCCGCTTCAGCTTGCGCTTCTTCTTTGATATCAGATGTTTCTGCAATGTCTTCTGTTTTGGATTCTAATTTGTGTTTTTTCTTCTTTTTCGGAATATCGGATTCTATTTTTTGAGTACCAGAAAATTCTCCTTGTTCTATATTATGTTCTAGACTATGTTTCTTCTTTTTCTTCGGTATAGTAATCGATTCTATTTCCGTTTGCGATTCTTCTTCCTTCATTTCCTCCTTGATTTGTTCAGAACTTGTGCTGTATTTCTTTTTCTTCTTTTTAGGCATTTCCTCGCTTTCTTGTGTTTCAATCTCTTCAATTAATGGCCTCTTCTTAGTCGTCAGTGTTGAGTCTATAGATGTTGAATACTGCATGTATTCGTTCTTAACTTGATATTTTTCAAATTTAGCCTTTGCTTTGGCAGTGCCACTTATCCGACGGATATTTCCTTCTTCAAGCATTCTTAATCGTGCCTCCAATTTCACTTTGTGCTCCGCACCAAGTTCGAAGCTTGCAGTATCTCCCAAAGCATCAACTCTTGTTGCTAAAGATGCTTTTGCTGCCAACATTCTGGATATTTTACCCTTATTTTTGTTTGAGGATTGTCCGACAAGTTGTGAATGGTAGATTAAACCATACTTGGGTGTGTTCTTCTTTGATTTAAGAGCACGGAACAGTGCCTTCTCTGCACCGAGAATTTGTAAAGTAGATGCTGGATGTTTAGCAAGACTTGTCAGAGAACCAGCCTTAGATATTAGACGTGCACCAATCAAATCGCCGACGAGAACTGTGAGGTTTGGCGCTAATGCCATCATCCTAGTCTTCAGATAATCGCACAGCTGGGATCGGTATTGATGAAGCTCAAGTATCTCAACACATAAGCATTGCATGTGTTCAGCATCGTATTCCGAGATCTCTGAGCCCATTGAGGTTTCCGCGGCTTCCTTCACTCTCTCCTCGACTTCCTCTGTCAGAATATCTGACAGATCACATTTGATAGCGTTCTCTCGTTGGCCAAGTATATGCATCGTCTTTATGTACTGAAGATTGTCAGTTACGATTTTGCCTAGCTCAGGAAAGTGCCAGCCGTACCATTCGCGTGCTCGCATTATATAGTTGTTGAGCTCCTTATCCAGATCATCCAGCAAACACACTGCCTGTATAACCATAGTATCGACCTTGTCGGGTGAGAACTTGAGTTTGTATCTGGAAAGACTGTGCGCCAGACCCAGCGTCATGGCCGTCCTCTCCTTCTCGGTCACCCCACTTATCAAACTATCCAATTGACTTCTGATGCATCTCATCAACTCCTGCACTGCCGTATTGCTTACACAGGATAACTGCAACTTATCCTTGATGGCACAGCCTAGTTTGGCATCGGCTACCGCCAGCTGTTCATGGGCCTCGATGCAGCAGTTTCTGAGCGTTTTCTTCAAAGATTTGGATAACTTGCTGTTTACAAGCGCCGTAGCGGCACATAATGCTTCGGTGGTGTCCTCAAACTTGTGAAAGTATTTTAATTTAAGTCTGTAAAGCAAAAAATACATGAGGATCATGATACATCAAATAAAATAGTACAATGTGGGCTAAGAAGAGAGATAGATTTGTTTTTTGCTACATAAAACATATACTTATTTCACTTTAAATATAAAAAGTAATTCAGCTAAAAAAAAATAGACCTACAGATTCTTGAAAGAAAAACTTACAATCTACTGGCAGCTTCAGGAGTCTCAAAGTCCTTGTGAAGATCTTCTGACTGAGCGAGTTTGTTTTCATCTAGAATCTACAAGCAAATTGTCTATAATATACAAATTTAAATCTATAATATACAATACATAATATTATCAGGGAATGGAAGTAACTCGTTGTAACAAAGTTACAGTTACAAGTTATTTTCTTGGTAACTTTATTGGTAACTGTGTTACTTTTTTTTCTTTGGTAACGATAACGAAGTTACATTTTTTTATAACAGTAATTTTATAACAAATTTTACAGTCATTTTTATCGTTACTTTGTACATGATTGAACACGATATGACACAAGCCACTTACGTTGTAAAAAAAAATTTCTTTACATCTATAATATAATAGATGTAAAATAGATTACATGATTAGGCCTGTGTATATAAAAAATCATGCAATTTTACAGAAATTATGTAAGTCCACAAAAATTATGTAAATTTTATTGTGTAAATATATCTTATTTTATATTGAAAATTATGTAAATAGCAGGATATTTTGAATATTTTTTTAAAAATTATCCAAATTTTAATAATATTATGTAATATAACAGAAATTTTTTATGTATTGTTGTTAAATGTATAATAATATACAATGAGAAATGTATTGTCATTATCCTGTAACACATACACATTGTAATTGTACTTCCACAATCTACTTAGTTACAATGAAATTATTTTTATTTGCATATTGTAAATTTACAAACGTGTGGACATTTACAACTATTATAATGGATCTCAAAATTATCCACTGTAATAGTTGTAATTTTACACAATTTTTTACAGTGCATAACTTGAGATTAGAGAAGCCCCTCCGTCCGCTGTGATTGGCGATCGTAGATAAAAAAAAATAACGGAAAAAAAACGAAAAATTATTTTCTCAAGTCTATGATAATTGTAATGAGTTACTTTTAAAAATCGATAACTATCCAGTCAGCATTGATAATAGAATCGATGTCAATTCGACGTCGAAAGTATTAAATCGACATCGTTTCGATGTCGATTTCATTATCATTTCTGATGGGTAATGATAACTTGTTATTTTTTCTACTCGGTAACGAGTAATTATAACTTGTTACTTTTAAAAAGTAACTTTTCATTCCAAATGAATATTATATATTAAATAATTTCATTGTATACGCGATACTCCTGCTGGGAAATAAAATGAGGCTAACACGTGCGCATTCATTTAGGTTAGGAAGTTCGGCATTTCTGACAAATTTTAAATTACCTTGAATATCGCGTAACCTGCCGACGTCTCGAACAGCACCAACATGATTGCAGCGTTTTCTTTACAACGATTAATCGTAATAATCAATTTCATACAATTTTCATGCCAATAAATAAATTTAACATCCACGCCACATCCACCAAACCCACGCCGATCGTCGGAACCACAGAATAGATTAGTTTGAATCAGTGATGTGAATTCCGGGCCGCTTGCAACACGGTTAGCATGAAAAGAGCATAGACGGACACGCATGCGCAAGTAAACACGGATATGTGTATTCATGTAGTGTATGTATCTTCTTATCTCTCCCCTTTCATGCTAGTAACTGTGCTGCAAGCGACCCTAAATTCGCATCACTGATTGGAACCGCAGAACGTTGGAATATGACCGAAACCATAGTGGAATTAGATAGTCGGAATTTAGGAAACGGAATATCAGAAAAGTAATGTGACCGGTCAGAATCATTTAAGTTTACCGCATTCGTAAGGCGCTAATCTGATTGGTCGTATTTATTTTTCCAAGATTCCGTTTTCCGAAATTCCGACTATCACGGGAAAGCAGTCAGCATTTTCATTATACTATCAGCTTTAAGATACACTTTCACGTTTTCACAAGCTATATATTTGGTCTATCTATATTACATTTATAGTTCTGGGATTTAAAATCAGCTGGTTACTCCAAAATTGTCCAAAATAATCCAAAGGAGATAAATTACATAATTTCAATTCGAGAAATATCAACCACATTCTCACAATGTACGTGATAATAAATATTTTTTTATAATAATGTCGAAACGTTTTCTATTGTATCATAGTTTTAATTTAGGGTGATTTCTTTGGGCATATATTTAATCTTAGAGTGATAAAAATTAACCTCTACTATAACTGAAAACATGTAATTAGAGAAATCATTTATGATCATTGAACAACTTATTGTTTCAAAAATGGCTACTATGAAAACTATGCAATTAGAAATGAAATGTATTATTGAACGGCATAATGTTATAAAAATTATTACATGTGAGGGAGAATGTTAGAATTTTTGTATTGATATACAATGTAAAGTGAATATTTAGATGATTTATTACTGACTGGTAAATAACAAAGATATTAATAACCAATTAGTAATTTTTAAAATACATATATATTTTAATGAAAAAAATTATCTTATTTATTTTTTATAGATGGGAGGTCACGACGCACACCATCACGGTCCATCATACCAAATACCCAACCATGATATTTATAAAGTGGAAGATGTACCAGAATTGAAACATGTTCAAGAAGAATTAGCCAAGAAAGGATTGAGAGATCCTTGGCTGAGAAATCAAGTGTGGCGCTACAAAAGAAGTGCATCGCCTTTTATACGCGGATTAATATGTGTAACGAGAGGCTGGAGAATTGCTATACCAGCATTCCTCATAACTATCGCTGTTGAACAATATTTTGGGATCGATTACTCAGGACATGGACATCATGGGGACAAGCATGGAAATGGTCATCATTAGTGTTCGCTTTGGATATGAATGTAATACAAGGAAGTAAGAAATAGTAAAGTGTAACGATATCTAAATAAGCTACGAAAATAAATTATAAAAGTAATAACTATAATGTATTAGTTAATATTTGTTTAATTAATTATTGTTTAATTTTATCACAGTTACATTAGGAATCTCTTGTCCAATAATGATTTATTGCAGAGATTTCTCTTAACATTGCATCTAATGATTATTAAGAATAATTGTGATATGACAACCGTTGCTATACAAGCGAAAATGTAAGAATTATACAACGCCAAAAAGAAGGCAAACACTGTAATTTCAAATGTCACTAATAACCATTCGTTTCCATGAAGCACCACTTTGTTGAAGGAATAATTGTTATCTGCAAAAATAAAATTAATTTCGTTAAAATGACAATAAATTGTATTAAATTAATAAAATAAACTGTATTAAATTTTGATTAAAAATCTATAAAATCTATAAAATAATTTTCTAGTACCAATATAAAAAACAGATTTGTCATTGGCATTTACAAAAAGAACGTCCCCTAATTTTTCTAATATGTGCTGCTCTTTGATTATATAATCTTCATTTTCCAAGCAGTGATCCAGAAATTGCATTAGGAAGAGCCTAATTTTTGACCTGGTTTCAAATAATTGTTTCCAATTTCTAGAAGGTGTGTCGCTTCCTTTTAAAATTCCCACACTTCCCTGTGCAAAATGTATTACAAACTGTACAATAATTTTTTTTAAATTGTATGGTAGTCTTACTTTAAAACAGTATAATAATATATAATAATTCAAGATTTTCTCTTTTATAGGCATGAAAATAAATGAAATGTTATTAACAGTGATACTTTTTTTTTCTACAAACAATCTCATACGTTGTTTTTTTGCTTCATGAGTTCATCATATAATGATTTAAATGAGTGGGTCAACGATAATATAAAAGTCTGGTCTGTTGTACCGGGTACCAAGCCTCTGTGCGCACATAAATCGTCTTCTTCCTTTTTCAGATCATTTATCAGGGTAGAAAGATCAGTATCCGCAAATCCATGTACTGATCTATCAAAAGCAATATTATTAATTATCTCTTTCATTTTGTAAGACACACTTAAATTACCTTCCATGAATATAAAAGCCATAATAATTGTGTGCCAATATGAACACACTAATGTTCGCGATCGAGCATAGATCTACGAACTTCTGCAGTCTGTTTCTAATGTATCTCTCGTAAAACGTAAATCGGACGAACCATTGTAAAAGATATATAAATATGTACATGAATGTACAAATCGCGAATTCCAGCGTAAAATTGTTCTCCATTTCGGAGGATGTATTTGCAACGGTCGATTCTGGTGTCGCTAACATCCACGATTCCAAATCGAATATCTGAAACGATGTAATTATTCAGATTTTGTTGTGTTGTGGATGAAATTAAATTTCTTTTATGTCAGCTGACCTGCAGGAAACACAGAGTGTAAATCGATTGCAATGCTACATTTATCCTTCTTCTAGTTTGCAATTTGTACCACTCGTTTGCGATGAAGTAAGTTCTCCAAACACTGATCGGAAAATCGTGTATATAACTGCGTTCGGTTGTCTCCTGCAAAGACGACTTCACGATCGAACAAATGGAAGAAAAATCTGGCGTATATTTTTCAATCGAAGAAGACTTGGACATTTCACTGGGGCTCGTGTTCCTGTTCGTCTTGTGTGATCTCCTCTTTCGCTTGGACGCGATGATGTCCGATGTTATTCTCGAAGATTTACCCTCGCTCTTTGGAAATCTGTTGGAATACAATTTCTGTAAAGAAGTACGCGGAGAGTCGTACTTCGGTTGATCGGGTATTGTCCTCGGTTGTTCCCAGTCGATGAAAAAGATGCTCAAATCCCAATGCTGATATACGAATCCTATCATTTCTGCAATCTAAATGAAAGAAACAAAAATGTTGGCTGCTAAATTTTATGTATCCTGCCTCGGATAGTCGAGAGGTTCAAATTGAAACTCTAGCTGAGATTTTTCTCAATAAATTCTTTGCAGTATACTATTAGCATTAAAATTGATGATCAATTTAATTTATAAATTTCATCAAGTTTTATGTGGTAAATTGGATTTCTGTTAATTAATTTTAGATAAAATGTTACGTTGCTTACTTACTTTAAAGCTAAATGCTACGGTAATGTATGTTCGGATTTTTCCTTCGCTATCTTCATTAGGAAGAAGAACATACGGTACAGTTTGAGCTTTATAAAAGATAAACAGATACACACATGTACAAATGCACACAAATGTAATTGCATTTCCAATCGCACCCATGCTGTAGATCAGAAACCACAATAACACGGCTATATTAAAATTGCTATTGTGATTATGCTTATAATAATTCCATGTCTTGATACCGGAAAATATTAATGCTATTCCCGTAAATACTCCGACAGTTATCTAAAAAAAAAAATATATATATATATATATATATAGTATTTAAAAGAAAAGTAAAACACTGTAATATTTTTACCTGAACATCATAATCTATATCGTTATCCTTCAGCACAAATGCAACTTTGTAATTTATTGTAACATCGGAATTGTTAAGGAAATCTTGATACATTAACTCATCGTACTCTACAATCAAAATGGGCGCGAAGATCTTGCCATGATCTTTTCTATTCTGAACGTTTACTCTGAAAATAAAATTAACAATGATTAATCACAAAAGAATTTGTAACGTAAATTATATGCGACTTACAAAATAGTCAAAGATTTCATATAACGAAGCACGGAAAGGTCTGATGCTTTTATGAATCCGCTGTGTATAAACATCGGTAATGCTTTGAAACCGCTTACATTGTCGACCAGAAAGAATTTTCGTACCAATTGTTGATGCGAAATTTCTTTAATATTCTACAAAGTAAAAAATCTAATTATTTTATTATTGTATAAATTTTATCATTATTATCATTATTATTGAGATCCATACCTGATCTGGCGACTTAACAATCACAGGCAATGCGTGTATAAATGATCTATTGTCCTCTCTAAACGCTAAATAAGGAGATAGTAATTCTACTTGTGCGTTGAGTAATTCAACAGCAGTGGTTTTGCATTTTTTGCTGAAATTTACACCAAACCTTACATTTCTCAGAAATTGACAGGGTAGAGTCGGTCTACCGATGGACAAGAATTTGCCGTTTAATGCGAATCTTGCGATCGTAAAATCGAGGATGGTATTCTGAAAATATATATATATATATTATTTCGTTTTCAATTGTATTCTAAAGATAAATATCCAAATCTAACTGATAATTTAACTGGATATAACCATCTTATTATCATAACAACTTTGATAATAATTCTCTAATTTTTCTACAATGTACCGTACATTATCCCCTTTTCTGAGGCTATATTTCTCGGATATCCTTGTATTGTTCAGCACCGCCGCTGCGTCTTGTTTATTGTAAAACAACCATACGGGTGCCATGGGCGAATGCATAAAAAACATGCAAGCTATACCGTCACTATAAAGAGTCAGGGCGCATATGTTTGACAAATGCTCGCATGCCATTCTATCTCTCTTCTGAAAACCATTAATCACAAAGTCTTTTTGCGATTACTATGCATTTTAATAGTATCGTAATTATCGTTATCGTAATTATCGTTATATTGTATTCTTTCATGTTTTTTCAGAAGAAATTCTAAGACTAGTATTCATAATCACGTTCTTTTTCTTAAGGTGTCTGGAGTCACCTTTGAAGATATATATCTATTATCATTTATATTTTTAAGTAAATTATGTGTACATATGAAAGTTGCGTTTATATCCTTAATAAGTAATGTTTTAAGATATTAATGCGGCTTTATAATTGATTTATGACATCTTAAGACTGTATTTAAGATGATCTTAAATATAAGAAATCGCCTATAGATATCTGATTTAAGATCTTTGCGCGCAACATACTCATCACCTTGCAAAGGTGCGCCGCGACTTGCAGTTCGCTTCTCAGATAATAACTGTCGACGTGTTCGCTGCGGAACTTCATCAGATACGTGCCTCTGATATCTGGCCAGTCAGTGACGTCATCTTTGTGCAGACAATAATTTCTTAATCTTACGTGTGTCGCACTCGGGCACACGCAATTAACGTGGCCGCTGTTCTCACGGCTGCCGCACGGCAAGCATTTGGAACAATCGGCAGATGGATATGTGCCTTGGATGCACGTTACGCAGAGCACAGCATCCAGCAGTGCGCCATTTATATTTCGATCTACTGCGAGCAAGAGTATAAAAAATGCATAATAATAGATTCCTATATAATAAAAAATGAATATAGAATTAAATAAATATAGAATATAGAATATATAGAATATAGAATTAAATTTTTATATTGTGTTAGAATTGTGTACATATTATAGTTGAATAAACTACGTTACAATTACAATTAATAGTTATAAAATAGTTTATACAATTACATATATATTAATTCTACATATATAAAATTTATAATTGTCAACTATAAATAGTCACAACTCTGTTTTTCCTCTGAATATAGATGACAGAACGCGACAGTCGTGTCAGCAAAGTGGCAAGCTAATGTCGAACTGTCAGCTAAAAATATTCACTGAGATTACGTTTTATTTGGTTCGAGGAGCATTTGCACGGCGCGTTCGAGCGCAGGACGCAATCCTTTCCGTCAGCGGTCGCGGTCATGTTGGGACCGCACGCGGCGCAAAGTGGACTGCCGTTCTCGAAACCGATCATTCCGCTTAACTCGTCGCACTGGCATCGCAGACCTGCGGGAAACACACACACGTGGATAGTAGAACAAGCGAAATAAATCGCAAACAGCGAGCGGATAAAATCAAACCATGCACCTACGGTCCGCGGTCGATACGAGATTCCGGCTGGCGTTGCATCGCAAGCAGGACAAGGAGACTGTATCGAAGTACTCGTCGTATTTGCACGTATTCGGATTCCAGTACTCGAGAATCCCATTATTTCCGTGGAACGCACTCGCGAGATTCGCGAAAATAATTACAATCAATGTTAGACGACGATCGTAGCCACCTCGAGCGCAATTCATATTTGTTGTGCCATCACGACGACGAAGTTGTCATGCCGACGGGCATCCGGCCACCCGGTACCAGTATTTTATCGAGAGAACCACGTCCACAATGATTCCAAAAGCCTAGTCAAAATTATTTATTATTCAATTATTTATTAATTATTTATTATTCATTTTTCATAATAAAATAATTAATATT